AATTTAGCCAAAATCCTCAGCAGTTTCACAACCGTTTTCTATTACAGCAAAGCGAAGGCCTGGATTCCAGTTAAGCAACTGCTTTATGTTTCCCTTTGTGCATTTAGGACTTTATATAAATGTGTGCTTATACTTGTTCGTATTCAATAAATGCAATTTCGCTTTTCAAGCCTTGAATTCTACTACTACGTATTGACGAGAGTAGAAACGTCACATGGTGATGCCAAAACGCTGCTCGACCAGATTACTCACTCCACAACCAAGCAAGGCATAACTACTCACTTTATTTTTCTATGCCCTTGGCTATGATGTGACAGGTTGTCACACTCGAAGGGTTTAAAGTGAAGTTAAGTGTTGCCAAGTTTGAGTCCATGGTTCAGTTGTAGTCGCTTCTGCATAGTACTTAGAGTCAACAAGTATGAGGGGCACCTCGATGTTGAAACTCGTCGAGAGCAAAATAATCTATAACTCCTCCCAAAATTCCGGTTTTTTCGTTAGAATCTCTCGAAACAATGCATGCTTTCGTTCGATGTAGTATCGCGCGCTAACTACAAGGTATATGCGTACAAGTAAAGCTAGAGTCTCGAAATCCAAAGGTGGAATTATATTGGTATTTGGTGTTTGGTATTTGGTATTTAGATTTGCTAACTTTCCCGTATATTTGTTATGCTCCAGTAGATATCGTTAAAAAGAATGTTGGTGGGCCTAACTGACATATCATTGCAGACGAATTTTCATACAATTCTCTAGGTATTGCGGCGACATGCGAAAATGTTTGAACTCGTTGAACAACCTTTTTTTTTTTTAATAATCTACGTGTATCAGCACTCAACACGTCCTTAGCCGAATATTGACCAACATGCTAAATCATTTCTCGTCGCACATGTGTGCCAATTACGTTGTCCATCTGAATCAGTTCTAGCTTAAAAGTTTTGAAAAATATGTTTTGCGGACATAAAGAAAAACACGCTTCTTTATGAAAGAGTTCTTTTGTCAATAATTTAAAACAAATATATCGACACCTGGCAATCGAACTTCTCCGCAAAATAGTGTAGGAAATGCTAACTCCTCAACATGTTTGTCCATTAGAATAGGCAACGGTCGCGACCTTTCGACGGGCGCCATTTCCACCGCAAATTGCTCTAAATGTTGATACAATGGCTCATTACATATGATGCTATCCAAAATTCTGACGTTTAAATCGGCTTCGTGAATATCCACTTCTACTTCCTCATCGCCCAATTCAGTCGCACCTTCGTTTATCCCCGAATGATCGTTAGTTTGGTCACCGTTATTGTGAGATAGAAACTGATTGTGAAGAGCGATATCATCAATCTCCTGTTGTTATTCAGCCATTCTTTCATTATCTAGTCTGATTCCAAATTGTTTGAACAAATCTTTGTTCTCCAAAAACAAAAAGGCTCGCAATATCTTGGCGGGCCTCACGTTGTCATCATGCACATTATGTCCATTCTGCAATTTGCATTAAAAACGCACACGGACAGTATGGGTTTCTTGTAGTAGTCGAGGCAATGCAGTTACCATGTCAACAATTTTGACTGGAACATTTACTACTCCGCCGCGTGTCTTATACTGTTTTCCAACGTGCGTTTGTGTAATGCTCGAAAACACAACGCGCTGTGACACGAAACATTCTTCCAAGTCCGACAATCCTGTAAGGTCATCATGTCGGTTTGGTAGCGATGTTCCCCCTTTTTGAGAAAGAGTGGGCGTTTCTTTATTCATGATTGCCATTTTGCAACTACGACACACCTTTGCAATAGCAGATGCACCGTCTTTCACTTTAGACAGGTGACGTCTGAACAATAGCTGGTCGCAGCCTTTGCACGCATCTGTAGGGCCTACTTTGGATACTTCAAATCGAAACATGGCTTCATCAACAATTTTAGCTTGCTCGTTTGATTCATCGTATCAAACTTCCAGGTCATCAAAAAAGTTATCTAATTCCTCATATTGAAGAATCCTGCCATCCTTGTAGAACTCGTCGATATTGAACGGCAATGCTTTAGTGCATTTAGGTCCGAATGCCAAATGCAAAAGACGTTGTGCTGCCGATTCTTTAGAAGCCTATTTTTGGTACATGAAGTTACATCCGTCCACCATTACACGAAAACCAAATTTCTCGCATCCTTTATGGACATCGACGTATGACTGCGAAGTAGTAGTTTGTGTTGGGTGCAAAATGTAATTTACACGTCAACCTGTCGTCTATTCGTCGAGCAAAGTGAAATTTGAAGGGATTTGTTGCAAGGTAATTTGTGTTCTGCATGATGCGCATTTGTGTGCTTTTTATTTTGGCATTGACAGTTTATGAATCTCCTTAGCGGTTCATGAGTTTTGTGGATTTTAATATGAGGTTGCATTCATAAGTTTTCATGATTATTCGTGTGTGTTTCGTGTTGTTCGGGCTATGTCATGAATGTGCATGAAGTTCCGAGTGATCATGCGTTTTCATGAGTTTTCGCGTGTTCCTGAATGTTCGTATGTTGTTCGTGCAAGCGTCATGAGCGTTCATGTGCGTTCATATTTGTTCAGGACTGTTAAAGTTCCGTTCATGTTTGTTCATGTTTCTATCATGAGTTTTCATGAGTGTTCATGGTGAATAGCGAGTGTTCTTTCTGGGAGATATTTTCGCGTTGGTCAACATTGTTAAGGGCGCGAGAATCTGGACCGCGCGTATGGGTCCAGATCTCGCGTGTGGTGCTGCACGGTCGCGTGTGTGGCTTGGCACTGTTGTGTAGGGCCCACTATCGCAACAGAACATGGCAAATGATCGCCCTGCCTTTGCGCAAGACAGCGCACGTTTGCGTGCTGTACAGCACGACCGAAAAGTCGGTCGAGCATGATTGCGCACCTAAGGGATGCGTGCGTGTTTCGGCTGTTAATCTATATATAGTGTGCAGGTTGTGTAGGCTACAGTGGGGTAGCCACTAAGGGGTACAACCCCTTTACGGTTTCACACTTTTTGTATCCCATCCCACTCGATAGTTGACTGATCTCTTGCCTCATATTTCAACATGGTATTAAGAGCCATTAGGTTAATAGGACCAGAATTTTAATAGGGCCCACCGTTAAGTCTTCGATTTCCTGCCCGAATCGCGCCCCTAGGAGCGTCACGTTTTTTATCCTGCTCAAAACGCGCCCTAGGCGCGTCGATTAATCCTGCATAGCCCCACTGCCCAGCCTTCGCGCTGCTTCCCCTGCCCCTCGCGGCCCCTCAGCAGCCCCGCGCGCCGCCCGTGGCACTCCCCGCACTCCCCTCTTTGAGGGATGCTCCCCCTCCCCTCTTACCCCCTCCTATGCCTCTGCTGCTGCTGCTGTTGACCTTCTCGGCGCTGAGAAGGTCAACGCCGCTTCTGCTCTTGGTGGGAAGCGCGGCGGAGGCAAGGGGGGCAAGGGGGGCAGGGGTGGCGGAGGTGGCGGCGGTGGGGGCGGTGGTGGAGGTGGCGGGGGTGGCGGCGGTGGTGGGGGTGGCCGTGGGAGTGGAGGTGGTGGGTGGGGTGGTGGCAGGATCGGGGGCGGTGGTGGCGGCAGCGGAGGTGGTGGGGGAGGAGGCAGCGGCACTGGTGGTGGAGGTGGGAGTGGGGGTGGATCTGGCCAGAAGGGTGGCGCTGGTGGCGGCCAGCAGCAGCAGCAGCAGCAGCAGCAGCGTCCGCCTCCCACCTCCCAGCAGCTCCATGACTGGTATGCTGGGCGTGGGGCGTCTAGGGGCTCTGACCGCTGCCCCTATGTCATTCGCACAGGTCCCCGCCAGGGTCGCACCTGCGACGGTTTTCACACCGAGTTCCGCTGCTTCGCTAGGCTTAGTGACGCCTGGCGCGCAAAGTATCCTGATGCTACTGAGTTCCCCAACTGGGCAGATCTGCTTAGGCGTGGTGTTCCTATCTTTGATCTAGACTATGATGCTATTCTTGCTGCTATGTATGCATTGACTGTTAGTGCTGAGGGTGACTGTTACTTGTGTGTGCCGCCTGACCCAGGTATAGAGACTGCAGCCCTAGGTGCTAGTGAGTCTGCTCTCCCTGGTACTGCGTCCGCTCAGGCTTTGCACACGTTCACACTTGACTCTGGTGCTTCGCGCTGTTTCTTTCGCGACAGCACCACTGTCACCCCTCTCCCTGCACCTGTTCCTGTCTCACTGGCTGACCCCTCTGGGGGTCCAGTGCTTGCACGGGCCACGACTGTGCTTCCGTGCCCAGCGGTCCCGTCTGGTGAGCTGTCTGGTCTCCATGTTCCCTCGTTCTCTACGAACTTGGTGAGCAACGCCGTCCTTCAGGATCACTGGGTTGACACCTGGACTCCTGGAGGACAGCGTGTGGCGATCTGTACATGCTCCAAGACCGGCCGCCACCTGGCCACGTTCACACGTGAGCCAGGGTCTAGTCTGTACACCCTCACCACTGTTTCACGCTACACTCCTTTGTCTCCACAGCTGTACGCGTCTGCTCAGGTTGCTACCCAGTGTGAGTGCCGCCGCCTGTCCCACGACACTCTCCTTTGGCACCACCGCCTTGGTCACCCCTCCCTGCCTCGCCTTCGTAGCATGCACTCTCGCTGCCTGGTCTCTGGCCTTCCCAGGTCTCTCCCTGCCCTCCCTCCCTCGCCTGCGCCGCCCTGTATTCCTTGTGTGGGGCCCGGCCCGCGTCCAGGGGCAGGGCCGCGAGCGGTACTTCCTGCTGGTAGTTGACGACTACACGCGCTACACCACGGTCTTCCCCTTGCGCAGCAAGGGGGACGTCCCTGCTGTTTTGATCCCCTGGATCCGCGCTGCTCGTCTCCAGCTCCGCGAGCGGTTCCAGTCGGACTTTCCTGTCTTGCGTCTGCACTCTGACAGAGGTGGTGAGTTCTCCTCCGACCTCTTGCGAGCCTTCTCTGAGGAGCACGACATCACCCAGTCGTTCACGCTTCCGGCCTCTCCACAGCAGAATGGGGTTGCTGAGCGCCGCATTGGCTTAGTCATGGAGGTCGCTCGTACCTCCATGATCCATGCGGCAGCTCCCCATTTTCTGTGGCCGTTTGCGGTCCGGTACGCCGCGCATCAGCTCAACCTCTGGCCCTGTGTCTCCTTGCCGGAGACCTCGCCCACACTGCTGTGGACGGGGAAGGTTGGCGATGCGTCGCGTTTCCGGGTCTGGGGTGCTCGTGCGTTTGTCCGCGATACTACTGCGGACAAGCTCTCCGCTCGCGCCATTCCCTGTGTTTTCCTTGGCTTTGTTCCTGACGCGCCTGGCTGCCAGTTCTACGAGCCCACCTGTCTTTGCGTCTCAGGATGTCACCTTTGACGAGTCCGTTCCCTTCTACCGTCTCTTTCCCTACCGTACTTCTCCTCGCACCCCCCCGCCACTCTTCCTCGCTCCAGTTATTCCCTAGGTATACCCCTACCCCGCGCCAGGTCCTGCTCCCTCAGGTGTTTCTCAGGTAGACCCTCCCGTGCCTGCACCTGTTGAGGTCACTGGTGACTCCGGTCCTGCTGGAGGTGGTGCTGTCGGTGGGGGTACTGAGCCTGGGGGTGCGGAGCTTGGGGGTGCTGAGCCTGGGGGTGCGGAGCTTACGCGTGAGGAGACTGAGGGTGCGGGGCCTGGGGGTGCTGAGCTTGGGCGTGAGGAGCCTGGAGGTGCTGCGTCTGGGGGTACTGAGCCTGCGCGTGAGGAGCCTGGAGGTGCGGAGCCTGGGGGTGCTGTGCCTGCGTGTGAGGAGTCTGGAGGTGCGGAGACTGGAGGTGCGGAGCCTGGACGTGCGGAGCCTGGAGGTGCGGAGCCTCCGTGTGAGGGTTCTGGGGGTGCTGAGTCTGGGGGTGTTGAGTCTGGGGGTGCTGAGCCTAGAGGTGCTGGGTCTGAGGGTGCTGAGCCTGCTGGTGTGCGGTCCCCTTGGAGTGGCCGCCTTCGTCCGCGTGTGCCTCTCACCTCCCAGCAGCTGCACGACTGGTACGGTCGCCGTCAGGGTCGCACTACTGGAGCCCGGGGCTCTACTGCTGGAGGTCCTTCTGCTGACGTCTCTGGAGCTAGGGGTGGTACTGGTGCTTTGCCTACTGGAGGTGCTGGAGTTACCTGTCCCGGAGGTGCTCGTACTGGAGGTACTGGAGCTGCTGGGGCTGGGAGTACTGTGTCTGGGGGTGCCGCTGCTGGGGACACTGCGGCTGGAGACCCTGGGACTGGGGGTGCCGGTTCTGGGGGCACTGCTACTGGTGGAGCTGGTCCTGGAGGAGCTGGCGCTGGGGGTGCTGGAGTTTCTGGAGGTGCTGGAGCTACTGGTGCTGCTGGTACTGCACAGCCGCGACTGTTCTTCGCTCCGCCGTCTCCGTCGTCTCAGCCGCCCCCTGACTCTGTGCTTCGCCAGGTTCTTAGTCTTTCGTCTTCTACTGGTCTTCCGTTACTGCCTGGCTCGCCGCTGCCTGCTCCCTCTCCTTACCCTGAGCAGTCAGGGGGCCTTACTGAGCGTCGTGAGCCTGCGTCGCGTCCTGTCTCGCCTGTTCGTCCTAGTAGTTCCACTCGTCGTGTTCCGCGTCCGCCGCCTGTCCCCACCGCACACCTTGTCGTCCGTCGTCCTTCCTCTGTTCCACAGTCTGTTACTCTGCCGTCTCCTCCCGCGTCTTCTTTGCCTCATGTTCCGGACCCTGAGTCTGACCGGTTTCGTGCTGAGCACCCTACTGTTACGCGTCTGCTCGCCACTGTTGTCACTGACCCCTCGTTTGAGTCTGCTGCTGCGTCTGCTTTGGTTGCCGAGCTTGTTGACTTTGCGACTGCCTGTCGTCTCGACTACGCTTCTAGCCTTGTTGCTGAGTCTGAGTCTGTCTGTCCTCCATCCGTCGGGGGTGAGTGTGCTCTTAGCACGGACGTCCTTGAGGACAGGCACGAGGACCTTGAGTGTCTTGCAGCCGCTGCGCCTCATCTCGTGGCCATGCTGCTTGCCCCTGAGGGAGACCCGGATGCTATAGACATCCCCACACCGCGCTCTTACGCTGAGGCGATCGCGGGTGAGTACTCCTCTCAGTGGCAGGCAGCCATGGACGCAGAGATGGCATCCTGGAAGTCCACAGGCACTTACGTCGATGAGGTTCCCCCTCCCGTGGCGAAAATCGTCGATGGCATGTGGATTTTCAGGGTGAAGCGGCCGCCAGGTTCTCCGCCTGTCTTCAAGGCTCGTTACGTTGCTCGAGGCTTCAGTCAGCGAGAGGGAGTTGACTTCTTTCAGACCTTCTCCCCCACCCCGAAGATGACTACTCTTCGGGTGCTGCTGCACGTTGCCGCCCAGCGTGACTACGAGCTTCACTCTCTTGACTTCAGCACAGCTTTCCTACAGGGCAGCCTGCACGAGGAGATCTGGCTGCGCCGCCCACCTGGCTTCACTGGGTTGTTCCCTCCTGGTACCCAGTGGAGCCTTCGCCGGCCAGTCTACGGTCTCCGCCAGGCACCCCGTGAGTGGCACGACACACTGAGGACTACACTTGCGGCTCTTGGGTTTGCGCCTTCGACTGCTGACCCGTCACTGTTTCTGCGCACCGACACTTCGCTGCCGCCGTTCTATATCCTCGTGTACGTCGACGACTTGGTCTTTGCTACTGCTGACACTGAGGCCCTCGCCCTGGTGAAGTCGGAGCTACAGAAGAGACACACGTGCACAGACCTGGGTGAGCTGCGCAGCTACCTTGGCTTGCAGATCACCCGGGACCGAGCACGCCGCACCATCACTCTGACTCAGTCACACATGGTGCAGCAGGTCCTTCAGCGTTTCGGCTTCACCTGGTCCTCGCCACAGTCCACTCCTCTGGCTACAGGTCACTCGCTCTCAGCTCCACCTTCGGACGAGTCCATAGAGCCGAGTGGTCCTTACCCAGAGCTAGTGGGCTGCCTCATGTACCTGATGACCTGCACTCGTCCTGACCTTGCGTACCCTCTTGGCCTTCTGGCACGCTACGTGGCTCCTGGTCGGCACTGAAAGGTGCACTGGGATGCTGCGAAGAGGGTATTGCGCTACTTGTGCAGTACATCGGGCATGGGGCTCGTGCTTGGAGGACAGCGAGAGGTGGTCCTCACTGGGCACTCAGACGCTTCTTGGGTTGACGACCAGGCTACGCAGCGGTTGTCACAGGGTTACACTTTCAGCCTTGGCTCTGGTTCTGTTTCTTGGCGTTCTACTCGCTCGTCTTCTGTTCTCAGCTCCAGTTGTGAGGCTGAGATCTACGCTACAGCCATGGCTGCTCAGGAGTTACGCTGGCTCACCTACCTGCTGACCGACTTGGGAGAGAGGCCTCGTTCTCCTCCAGTTCTGTACGTCGACAACAAGGCTGCCATTGCCTTGTGTGAGGAGCACAGACTGGAGCACAGAACGAAGCACATCGCTCTGCGTTACTTCCTGGCTCGAGAGTTGCAGCAGCGTGGTCAGCTTCGTCTTGCACACGTGACCACTCGGGCCAACACTGCTGATATATTCACCAAGGCACTTCCGTCTGGTGATCATCAGCGTTTTTGTACTTTGTTAGGCCTTGTGCCTACGTTTCCACACTTGCTGTAGACTTTGCTTGTACTGTGATCTATATACATATACCTGCATGCTTGTTCTTGCTAGGTAGTGATCACTGTACTGTTCTTGTCGCATATATATCTCTGCATGCGAACTGGCCTTGTGGCCCTTTACTTGTGCTCAGAGTGTGTGGTGACGTTGTGATCCACCCTGAGCTTGTTTTGCTTCTCTTGACTGGTCTTGTGACCCCTTGTTCTCCCCCACTTTGCCTATGGGGGTGTGTCAAATTATATATATGTGTTAGTGTTGTCTAGGCTGTAGTGGGGTAGCACTAGGGGGTACAAAATTTCTCTCGACATTCTTTCTTGTATCCCCCCCCCCCCCCTTTGACCTAATCGACTCATTTCCTTCCTAGCCTAAGTTCTTTCTCATTTTTTATAGATTGTGTTGAAAAACGGTGTGTCCACGGGCTTCCCGTTGTTGATGAAATAGTGCCGATCTAACGGAAGCTTTTGACCAGCCTTAAGTCCACAATGCTTCAAAATGTGTTTCTTTTATGGTTCATGTTTTGTTCATGCTTTTCCATTAGTGTTCATTGGGAGAGTCAAGTGTGCTCGGAGAGGTGGGGCTCGAGTCCTTGGCAGGGCCCTTGACCAGTTTCGCACTGGTCAAAAAGTGCGCGACTATCAGGACCCATGCGTGTGATCCTGACATGCGTGTGTGGGCCCTCAGGCCCACGTGTGTGTCTGTGTACTATTGCGCGAGGGCCTAAGGGCGCGCTGCAGTCGTGATTTTTAATTCGAAAATTCTTTGGAGCGGGTTTCACGCGAACTTGAACGCGTTTGGGTTATGACGAGCTTGAAGATGAAAAAATACAGAGTGTCGGCACCCTTTGTCAAGTGCACCAAGACTGGTTTTTTGGGGAACCCGAACTCCTACCAATCATGCGGCCAAAATTGGGGTCGCACGTACACTGATTACGTCGCATATCACATCGTCTCATTTCGTATAGGAGTCATAAACATTTTGTTACCGTCGCTAGTTTTTTGCTATTTTATTTCGCAACTGGAGTTCACCTTTTGGGGTGGTCCAGTTCCCTGTCAAGTTCAATCATTTGACGGGGAATTCTGAAACCATGTCAGTGATAACGGACTGGAATGGTGAACTAGAAAGGATTGTGAGTACAAATATGAAACCCTAATGTGGTGACCCCCCTATAGGCTAACCCACTACAGCCTACACAAACACAACATATATAATGTTTGACACACCCCCATAGGCAAAGTGGGGGAGACCTAGGGGTCACAAGACCAGTCAAGGCAAAGCAAGGCAACAACAAGCTCAGGGTGGATCTCAAGGATACCACACAAATTCCGAGCACAAGCAAGTGGTCACAAGACCAGTTCACATGCAGGTTTATAACAGAGCATGGGATACAGTGATCACAACCTAGCAAGAGTAAACATGCAGGTAGATATATATATAGTGATCACAGTACAAGCAAGGTCAAGAGGTAAGTAAGTGAGGTCCAGTAGGCACAAGGCCTAGCAGAGTGCAGAAGCGCTGATGGTCACAAGGCGGAAGCGCCTTGGTGAACACATCAGCAAGGTTGGCCTCAGTGGCCACGTAACGCAGACAAAGCTGACCGCGCTGCTGCAGCTCTCGAGCAAGGAAGTACCGCAGGGCGATGTGCTTCGTTCTGTGCTCCAGTCTGTGCTCCTCACACAAGGCAATGGCAGCCTGGTTGTCGACGTACAGCACTGGAGGAGAACGAGGCCGCTCACCCAAGTCGGTCAGCAGGTAGGTCAGCCAGCGTAGCTCCTGGGCAGCCATGGCTGTGGCGTAGATCTCAGCCTCACAACTGGAGCTGAGAACAGAAGAAGAGCGTGTAGAACGCCAAGAAACTGAGCCGGAGCCAAGGCTGAAGGTGTAACCCTGAGACGACCGCTGAGTAGCCTGGTCGTCCGCCCAAGAAGCGTCTGAGTGTCCAGTAAGTACAACTCGGTCTCGCCCTCCAAGCACTAGCCCCATGCCCGACGTACTGCACAAGTAGCGCAACACCCTCTTAGCGGCATCCATGTGCTCCTTCCTGTGACGGCCAGGAGCGACATAGCGTGCAAGGATGCTAAGAGGGTATGCAAGGTCAGGTCGAGTGCAGGTCATCAGGTACATGAGGCAGCCCACAAGCTCTGGATACGGGCCACTCGGCTCTACGGACTCATCCGAAGGCAGAGCTGAGAGCGAGTGACCGGTAGGCAGAGGAGTGGACTGAGGCGAGGAGTACGTGAAGCGGAAGCGCTGAAGGATCTGCTGCACCATATGTGACTGAGTCAAGGTGATGGTGCGCCGTGCTCTGTCCCGGGTGATCCGCAAGCCAAGATAGCTTGTCAGTTCACCCAGGTCTGTGCACGTGTGTCTCCTCTGCAGCTCCGACTTCACGTGGGCAAGTGCCGCGGTGTCAGCAGTGGCAAAGACCAAGTCGTCGACGTACACGAGGATGTAGAACGGCGGCAGTGAGGTGTCTGTGCGTAGAAACAGTGACGGGTCAGCAGTAGAGGGAGCGAACCCAAGAGCCGCAAGTGTCGTCCTCAGTGTGTCGTGCCACTCACGCGGTGCCTGGCGGAGACCGTAGACCGGCCGCTGAAGCCTCCACTGGGTACCAGGAGGAACCGACCCAGTGAAGCCAGGAGGGCGGCGCAGCCAGATCTCCTCGTGCAGGCTGCCCTGCAAGAAAGCAGTGCTGAAGTCAAGTGAGTGAAGCTCGTAGTCGCGCTGAGCGGCTATGTGCAGCAGCACCCGAAGAGTGGTCATCTTCGGGGTGGGGGAGAAGGTCTGAAAGAAGTCAACTCCCTCTCGCTGACTGAAGCCTCGAGCCACGTAGCGCGCCTTGAAGACAGGAGGAGAACCCGGTGGCCGCTTCACCTTGAAAATCCACATGCCACTGACGATGTTCGCCCCAGGTGGGGGAACCTCGTCGACGTAGGTGCCTGTGGACTTCCAGGAAGCCATCTCTGCGTCCATGGCTGTCTGCCACTGAGAGGAGTAGGGACCCGCCATCGCCTCAGCGTAAGTGCGCGGGGTCGGGATGTCTGGTGCATCCGGGTCTCCCTCAGGGGCAACTAGCATGGACACGAGGTGGGGCAAAGCAGCAGCAAAGCACTGGAACTCCTCCTGTCTGTCCTCAAGGACGTCCGTGCCAAGAGCACACTCACCCCCGACGGACGGAGGACAGACAGACGCAGACTCAGACTCAGCAACAAGGCTAGTGGCGTAGTCTAGACGACACCGGGCAGCAAAGTCTATCAACTCAGCGACCAGAGCAGACGCAGCAGAGGACTCAAAGGTAGGGTCAGTGACAACAGTAGCGAGGAGACGGGTGACAGTGGGACTGGCAGCACGACGGGAGTCCGACTCCGGATCAGGAAGAGTAGGCAGAGAGGAAGCAGGAGGAGACGGTAGCGGGACACGCTGAGGAGCAGTGGAGGGACGCAGAGTCATGTAGTGAGTGCCAGGGACAGGAGGAGGACGCTCACGTGGGACACGACGACCAGTGCGAGCAGTACGAACAGGCGACGCAGGACGAGACTCAGGCTCACGACGCTCTGTAAGACCTCCTGTGGGACCAGTGTAAGGAGAGGGAGCAGGGAGAGGCGAGGCAGGCGGGAACTGTGACTGCGACTGGACAGGCGGAGGACACTCTACGGAGGGAGGAGGACAAGGAGGAGGAGCCTGACCAAGAACCTGTCGAAGAAGTGGTACGAAGTACGGTCGCGGCCTCGTAGCGTCTCCAGAACCAGCAAAGACACCAGCGGCAGGGTCCTCAGCACCAGCAGCAGCTCCAACGTCCGGGTCTCCAGCACCAGCAGCAGCTCCACCGTCCGGGTCCTCAGCTCCAGCAGTAGCTCCAACGCCCGGGTCCGCAGCACCAGCAGCAGCGCCACCGCTCGGGTCCGCAGCACCAGCAGCAACTCCACCAGCCGGGTCCTCAGCTCCAGCAGTAGCTCCAACGTCCGAGTCCTCAGCACCAGCAGCAGCTCCACCGCCCGGGTCCTCAGCACCAGCAGCAGCGCCACCCCCAGGGTCCGCAGCACCCGGAGGACCACTCCGAAGACTGCAGCGCCGTGTGTACCACTCTCGGATCTGCTGAATGGGGGGGAGCTCCTGGGTAGGAGGGGAAGTACCGGGACGAGCTCCAGCAGCACCTCTCCGGAGGCGGCAGTACTCGAGGTACCTCTCCTGCAGCTGCTGGGAGGAGAGGGCTCCTCCAGGTGTAGCACGCTCAGGCTCAGCACCCCCAGACTCAGCACCCCCAGACTCCGCACCCCCAGGCTCAGCACCTCCAGGCTCCGCACCGCCAGGCTCCGCACCTCCAGGCTCAACACCCCCAGGCTCCGCACCCCCAGACTCAGCACCCCCAGGCTCAGCACCCCCAGACGCAGGACGAGAGTCAACAGCTACCTCGACAGGCTCACCCG